AGCTCCATATAAATGAAGAAATATGAAATCACAATAATTGATATGTTAAAGAATATACGTGCTTTGCATAAAGCAGTAATGAAATGGTCTATCCCAGAAGAAGGTATTACTGAGTCCTAGAAAATCACCAGAATAGATTAATTATAACAAGAAATGGCTCTTCTCTTATATGTGCCCTAAAATCACCAAATGTGGCGATATGTGTTCTCCGCTGATTTTTGGTGCAATTGCGTGTTGATGTTCAAAACTCTTTTGCTGGAAGTGGTTTAACTGCTCATTGGTTTGTGTCACGCATGTTTTGAAATGGCCTATATTGCAATGAGAGACGTGGTTGCAAGAGGGTCTAGGAGATTATTTTTAGTGGCTGTGCATGATAGAAGTAAGGAAATGCTGATGCAGTGTATTAAATAGTGGATTGAGCCTTGTACAACTATTTTTTCAGATGGCTGGAAATTTTATAAGGATTTAGGAAAAGAAGTTTTTGAACATTTATTGGTACGATTGTTGGATAGTGTGTCTGGCTGTCATATAATATGATAGTGATACATGGCGGCATGTTAAAGTGGTATGAAATTGGTATTTCTGTTGTTCGAAAAAGCATTCATGGTAAGGCATTTATTTATCTTGTTCTTATTTGTAGAATTTATGTTCTTGTTTTTTAGTATGATTTCTGTCGTTTGTTTTTTTTTTTAATTTTGAAATTATTTTAGTTTTTTTGATTAGTGCATAATGCCTAGATTGTGCAATTGTAGATGTTTTTTAAAGTGCAACAGAACGCTGTGTACATGATTCTTTAAAATGTTGTTATGTTAATTGATTAAAGCGAGTGTGTGTAGTTGTAGATTCGTTCGTTGCCTAGATTATGCAATTCATAGATTTTTTTTTTAAGTTAAAAACATATCGTGCGTATCGTGTACATGGATTCTTGTCAAATATTTTTGGTTAAAAACTTTATGTTTTTGCTATCTAATTTTTTGTTGTTTCAGATTTTTAGCTTAAATTGTATGTTCAAAACATGGTTTTTGCATATGCGAAAACCGCGTTTTTGGAGTTATTTAGGCTTAAAGTTCGAAATGTAGACAAAAAATTTAGATTGTAATATGGCAGCGTGGAGTTTCTCACCAAAAATGTTTGGCGACCTGAGGGCACATATAAGAGTAGTTACAGCGTATGTTTATTTGCCTTAAAGTGGGCAAAACAGAATGCAAATGAAAGAGAAAACTTTAACTTTGAGTTGGTGTAGTCAATTTATGACACAGAATAATTTAGTTTTATGCGGGAAAAAAAAGTTTCACAAAGTCTTCCAAAAAATTTGGACAACGAACTGATAAGTTTCCAAAAGTATGTTATTGACCTATGAAGGCACAAAAAGTATTTACTATAGCATATTCGAAATATGTATGAAACTGAAGTAATGACCGATACGATAGAAAATAAAATGATGCGAAAGGAACAAAACTGGTTTATAGAAAAACAACAGGTTATGAAAAATCTCAACTCACCGTACTGTTTTCCTGCATAGCGGACAGTACAAAATTAACACCCATGTTTGTTTTTAAAAGAAAAACTGTGTTTTCATACATATTCACAAAAAAGGATGGAGAGATGAAAACAATGTGAAACTGCAGATACAAAACATTTGGCAAAAGCATCCAATTGCCTTAAAGAATTAAACTTAAACAAGAGGGTAATTGTTCTGATCCCATCTAATGGACAATATGAAGACATTAACAAAAGCATGGAATTAAACCTAATTTAAAGAATTTAAAAGTTATCTAAAAAATGTAGCATAATCTAAATTTAATGGAAAATGATTATTTATTTATGGATGAGTAACAGTGATGGTGAAGATGAAACAGAATTTGATGATGTGACTGAAAATAAAATGGAAGACAAATATTATGAACTTTTCATGTCATCTGATAATGAAATTTTTTTTAAAGTTCATAAGGTATTAATTCCGAAGTCAAACAACAAAAATCAGCGTTATATTTTCAAAATTTTCGCAGGACTAGTTTCGATGGTTTTACCAAACCATCATCCTCATCTGCAAAACCGCAAATGAACAAGATAGGAAATAATGACTAGATAAGATAAGAAAGCCTGGACAGGAATAAGCAAGTGGCGCCATCTGTTGATGAAACCAGAACTAAAACATAATTTCTTTAAAGGCCGAAGGCAAAGTTGGATTGGAATTAGGATCGTTAACTAGAACAGAAAGATTTTTTTGAATGTGAAATGCCTCTCTAGAAAATCCAAATCTCCAATGGAAGATGTTTTTTTGAATAATTTTGGCAGCAGAAAAATTGAAGTGTGAATTTCGGACCATCAATGTTGAGCAACAGAAGACTTCTGTGTTTCCTTTTTTCTAACACATGCCTCATGTTCCTTGAAGCGAAATTTTAAGGCTCTCTTAGTTTGGCCAATGTAAATTAAACCACACTGGCAAAGAATCCTATAAATATCCCAGAAATTCATATCCGAAATGGTGTCCTTGAGTATGAAACTCGGAATTTTATTGATGGGAGAATACACAGCCTGAAAGTTAAATTTCTTCAAAATATGTGCAACTTTATAGCTAATTGATGGAAAGAAGGGAATGACAGCAGAATTTTTATAATCTCCTAAAGCAAGAGCGTGCCTTTTAGTGTGTTGAGATGAGAATTTTTTTAACTGCTTTCATAAGATATGTCATTTCTTTTAGATAAATAGCATTTAGCTACATGTGGAATTGCAATTTTTGTATGCTTATCTTTTCCTTGATTTTAAAACTATGATTTTTATATTCAGTGTATAATGTGCACCCCTAAATCATGATCTTTTGTATTAAAAATGTGTGTTATATGTCCAAATATACGGTATATGTGCAATATTAATTACGGGAAGGACAGAAAAACCATGTAGTCAGCTTTTTCAAATACACCATTTAAAAAATTAGATTTTCGAGAACTGCAATGTTGCAATAACTTTCAAAACATTTTCTTCCGCATTTTACAAATCTTTTAACTGGAAGTAAAAATAAATGTATGAGGGTCTGATAGTTTGCATAACAATGTTACAAATCTAGGAAAATATTAATGATTATTGTTAGAAATATGAGAGTTCATTGCAATTTATTGAAACAGATGCATGCAAGAAAAGGAATATGTAAAAGATTAAATTAGCAGCGTAAATTAATTTCCCTTCTCTATTCTAAAAATAGCAACATCTATTTGCACTGCGTCATTTCGAGAAAAATCTATGTCATATGACTCTTATGTAATTCTGGTGATGTAAATTGAACTAAAACTCAAGCAGCCAATAATTTTACAGCAATACTAACTATCCAATCAAAATGCTTTGAGAACCAAAACTAACTCAGTTCAAGATTTCATCCTGAACATTACACACTTGCTTTCCACCCCTTGGCCTGGCCGCACGCAGTTTGTCTGCTCTGTCTTTCTTATTGCAAATTTATCTAAAATGTAAAATCTCTTGGAATAGGCACAAGTAATGTGCCAACTTGATTGTCACCGCAACATGTTTGCTAAAATAAAAAATGAAGATTTAAATCTGCTTTTGCCTCCAATTTTCTATTCATTATGGATCAACACTTCTACGCCATCAAAAATTCCTCCTCCTGAATTTATTACATGCATATCTTAAAAAACTATATTAGTTATTCAGCTCACATTACAATTTTGTAATTATGAACCAGATGTTTGCATAACATGCTGCAACATTAGTATGGCAAATTTCACACTTAGCATGTTATTTTCCACACAATACTTAGTAATAAACAATTCAGATTAGTAAGTGCTACAGAATATATGTGAGGTCATAAGATTTGAGTGATTGAGATGGTTATTCAAAATCTCCTAACCATGACCAAAGAACGTGATGACGCGTAGCTAATCTTGCTGAAACCAAAAGCTGGCATCAAAATATTGCTATGTTGCCCAACATTATGTGATTTTTTTTTTAGCAAGATAAGAATGTTGCTTTAATTTCGATACAATCTAGTTCTCTATTGTTATTTAAGATATGAAATTGTCTTAAATCTGCAATGCACTTTTTTCTAACAGTACTTGTATATATTTCCATTGTATTCTTCATAAGCCTTGTTCTTTTTCACAAGCTTCTGTTCGATACACATTGTTATTTCCCATACCCCATCCTATATCATAGCTGCAAACCTTGAAATGTGAAAACCCTGAAGATTTTTACAAGAATGTGAGGCAATGTGATTCAAGAGAATGCAGAGTTTATTTAAAATTATTTTATAATATCTAATTCAGGTTATTAAACTATTTACAATGTGGTTCTGGATATACTAAATGTTATTTTTTTGACTAATTTCATTTTATATTATAATTTTCTTAAACTTATACCGAAAAAATCCTCAATAGAGAACAAAAGGTTTTATTTATCAAAGTACTTTCAAACATGACAAAAATAACATTAATAGTTAATGCCAAATAATAAAGTTAATTAGTTAACATCTAACTGCAAATTTAAAACACTGCAGCAAGTGCAGATTATGTAAGAACCTCCATGGTGTGAATAAATACAGTTGCCACCCCCCATAAAAAGCTCTTCACTTCTAATCATGAGCTTATTATCCCTTCACTTGAGCATGTATATGGGTTTGAGATGAGAAATACATTTTTTATACTCTTTTTGGTCTGATGCCTTGCACGGTCATATCGGCTATTCAGGTCCACTCTCTAGTGATAAAATAAGAGGCTTAAAAAAAAAAAAAAAAAAAAAAAAAAAACACGAGAGCTGGCAGCTATGCACTTAATTTAGATCAAGTAAAAATATCCTGAAAATCACCAGATGTGGGGGGAGTTTCATTAATTTTACTATTGTGAAAATTTTTTTCCCTAGTAAAGGCCACCAATAAAAAATTGGAAGATTCATTATTTATTGAGAGATGTGATAAAAATCCAAAAGACTTGGAATATACATACCATCAAGAAAATATGCATATATGTAATAAAGAAATCATGCTGATGCAGTTTAAGAATACCACACTAAAGTATGTAAATATTTATTCATTCAAGATTTGTGGTGGATTTTTGATAAAACTACATTCAACAAAAGGAGTAAATTGGATGCACTGATATGCAGTCTTTTTTTTTTTTTTTTTCCTCCTTTCTTTCGAACTTAAAAACAAAATTAATCATCTTATGCAAACAAGATTTATATTTTACATTTCATAAAAATGTCACTCTTAAGAGTTTCAAATTACATTTGCCATTTTTTTTTTTTTTTTTTGTCTTTTTTTCCCCTTTCTTTTTTACAAGAAGATATAAATCTATACAAGTATATAAAAATCCCTTATTTTTATAGTAAATATGTAATATTTATTTACAAGATTTTTTTTTTCCTTCTTTGACTCTACGATACTTCAAAGACTAGCACTGAAATAGATCAGAGAAAATATATTTCAGAAACCATTCCGTTAATTGATAGCATTGTTACGTGACCTGAGGCGTTGTGATGATCGAGTATTAATTTTTACATTTCCATTCGCAGCATTTCGTGTCTTTAAAGTACTTTTACTTTTCAATGCATTTGGTACTCGAGTTCCAATAAGTTTTGCAATATTGCCACCACCATTGGCACGACATTTCTTTGGCATTCGAGAATCTACACAACAAGGACAAACTCTCTTCACAGAAGTTTTAGGTGTATCACGCAAACGCAATCTACCCGCTGGAATTCCATCCATGCTTTGGTCTTCATCTTGTTTTTCATCAAGACAAAACCCATCTTCATTAACAAGAGTTTCATTCAACAAAGGTGTGACCTTTTCGATCTCATTATAGCATGGGCTCATAAGACAGACTGTTCTATTAATTTCTTTCTCCTTGTTTAAAGATTCCTGAACATTGTTCAAGATTCCTGCCTTCTGTATGTTTGCATCACCATCAAACTTTATGCACAAACCCTTTTTGGCATCAATTCCCACTGTTTCAATTTTTCTATTTTCTTGCTTAACTTTTCTTTTTTTCTGAGAATTTTTTTTCATTACATTTCCTTTAGGGTCATCTGATGTTTTCTCACTTACATAATACTTAATATTTTTGTCATTTTCATTCATTTTATTTGCGGAATCAAGAGATTTGCGTATTCTCAAAGCAATACGCTTTGGCCCTTGTTCTTCACTTGCATCACTTTCATTAGGCAAATGATTCTCATCATTAAGCATATTACTTTCAAGAGAAACATGTTTATCATGGTTATTGACTACTGGAAGAAAAACTGTATCATTACAATTATTTTCAACTGATTTAAGACTATCACTTCTGATATTCTGCAAACACACCTTGGAAGGATCTGATAGGCTCTCTTTACACTTCAGTTTGGTCTCGGTAATATTTGAATTTTCATCAAAAATATCTTCTAATTTATTTTCTTGTTCACTTTCATTTAAGGTATATATATTTACATCACTCTGATCATTTGTTGCAGAAGAATTTTTTTCATTGTCTTTAAACGAATTGATATTTTCATACGAATCATCCGTTTCTCTTTTGTCAGAATTTTTAATTTGCAAGTCTGAGGTTTTTAAGTCAGGATGAGTGTGAGCACGCACACTTTCTGTATCAGAAGATGTAAAATTGAAATTTTTACTAGTCATACTTAAATCAGTAGTTGTAGCAGGTAAGTCTGTGCCTGTTGTAACCACATCTCTTTCTATCACATTTAGATCTGTACTCTTTGCACTGAAGTCTGTATCTGCTTCTTTTGAATCTGTACACATTGAATTCAGATCTCTAGTTTTTGCACTTAAATCTGCATCTGCTCCCTTCAAATCTATATCTGCTATATACAAATCTTTATTACTAGTATTTGAGTCTGTATCTGTTAGAGTGTTATTATTTAAACTGTTTAGAGATTCTTTCTCCTTCTCTTGATGAATTTCTTGTTCTTGGACAACAGTAGATTTAATTTCAGCATTATTCATGCAGTGTGTCTCAATAACTGCATCTTCTGTTTCACTATTGTTTACAATTTGATCAGTTTTACAATCTAAAAAAAAATCACTCTGTGTTTCAGATTTGGAATTTTCCTTAAAATTTGACACAGAAATTTCCTTTTCAGCATTTTCAACACAATTTACAGCACATCCATTTTCTGCACACTTATTAGCATTTTTTATATCCTCACAATTATATACATCATTGCTTTTCTTCTGTTCATTAAATACTGACTCACTGCAGTTGTCAGTATTTCGCTGTCCTAAAAAAACATCTCCTGAATCACATGATGTGGATGTTTTACTATACACTGTAGGCATGGCATTTTCATTGAATACAGTTTTAGGATCACAATTTGTTTCTTTCCCTATCACATTTATTGAACTTTCTGGGTTGCTAAGATTTTTTTCACAGTGACCAATATTTAGCATACTTTTACTTTGGTCTAAATTTGAACAGTTTTTGCTCACTAAGTTACAATGGTCTAAAAAAGAATTCTTTCTCTGAACATCAAAAATTTGTTTAGAACTAGATGGATCAATAGTACAAGAAGAAGAGTTTATATCTTTATCTGCAGTGCATAAACGCATTGGAGTAAATGTATTAAAATTTATCCCTACAGATGCAGTCTTAGAAGCACTGTGAGTTATATTAATGCACTGAACACTGTCAGAACTGTCTGTTTCATTCACAGCACTAACTGTATTTGTACTCTTTCCATCTTTTTTTGATGTAAGCAAGTCACCTACAGAGTCTTTATTACTGCACGTCTTTTGTATCAAATCTAATCTAGATGTCTGCTGATTAACAGCATCAGCCTGAGTGAAAATATCAGATTTAGATGCAATGCAGTCAACATCTAATGGTTTTACAATTTTTTTTACACATGATTTTTTTTTAACACCACGGCCTAGGTTTCCCAACAAGTTTTTTGAACACGGAGTAGCAACTGGTTTTCGAGGCTTAGGTCTCGATATAGAAATTTTACCTTTTGATGATGAAGCTGTCCTATTCTGTCCCGAAGATCCACTTCCTTGCGTAGGTAAGGGTAATGTGAGGGAATCTGCACTTGATGGACGATTACCTGACTGCTGGGCCAGGTTATGAGTGGCAGATTGATCTCCACTCCAAGGCATGTTTTCTAAAAGAAACTGCTCTAGATCTTCAAGACCATCATTAGTTTCAGATGATGAGCGAATTGAAGGATAAGATGGAGCATTAGCACTAAACTCTGCTATGTTCTGAGTTGAAAACGAGCCATGAGGGCAACTGGGCTGCTCTTGATTGGGCTGTATAGCAGGAGAAAAGAACTGGTGGCCTGAAGCATCATGAGATGGCAAACTATAATTTGTCCCTTGTGAACGCTGATTTGCAGGTAACTGAGCTACAGCTGCTGCCTGGCGTGCAGCTGCCAACTGGGACTGAAAACACTGAGCTCCTCCTTTGGTACTAGATCCCTGAACACCAGTTACAGTACTTCCTAAAGAAAGTTGAGAGGCCACACCAGCAGCTGCAATTGCATTTTGTCGAATTTGAATGAGCTTTTGCATTTGCTGGTTTGCTAAAATCTGCTGGTTTTGAGCTAGCTGAGCAGCTTGAATTTGCTCAGTTTCAGTTATTTTTGTAACCTGCTGGGTAGTAACACATTTCTTAAATTGTTGGACTGGTGTTTGTTTCTGAATCCCATGTGTTGCATGTTGAACTGGAGGTAATGCTCCAACATGATGCATAAGTTGAAGTTGTCCTAATCTCTGCTGAACAATCTGTTTGTTTTGCTGGAAGTGAGGGCATTGTGTAGCTGGCTGCAATTGTTGAGCCTGACAACCAACACTTGACAAAGGTTGTATCAGTCCTGCAGATGGAAGCTGACCTATCTGTCTCTGTTGCTGTAAAGCAGATTGCCCACAGAGAGTGATCTGGGGCATTTGTGACATTTTTGCCAACTGTGGAACTTGGGAAGTTGGACATGTCGAAGGCTGTCTTTGAAATTTTGTGGAGTTTGCAGATTTGCCTACTGGTAATTTACTTTGGGTAATTTGGGAAGAAACTGTTGTAGGTGTGGGCAACCTAAAGTCTTTTGGGGGTGTAACTGGAGAAACATGAGTAGATGTTGATTGCGATGACATCCTAGGAGGAGTCTGCATCTGAAATTCTGTACTCTGCATCTGAGGAACATGTTGAGTAGGTGAACTTTTCACAGCAAAATCTTGACTTTTTGTTTCTCGAGTAGGTGACTGTAACATAAAATCTGGAGCCTTTGGACTAACAGAAGACTGCTGAACAGTACCATAGGGTACTCGTGCAGCAGAAACATCAGATGATGCAGAATCAGTCTGTGGGATATGAGGAAGGCACTGGGATGATGAAGCGAAAGGTACATCAGATGAACCTTTAGGAAGATCCATTTTATGAACATTCCGACAGTGTCGCCTCAAATTATATGCAGAGAAAAATCCTTTGTGACAGATCTCACACCAAAACTTATGTGCAGCATCAGGATCTCTTTCAGATCGTTCTTTCCTTTTCTTCTTTTTCTTAGGTTTATTATCATCTTTCGTTTCACCAGAAGAATCAACATCGGGGGATTTTTGGATACCTATTTGTTGGGCAGTTTCATTAACAGAAGAATCTTCGAGAATCCATGTTGTGGTTCTTGAAACTGTGCTTTGGCATTCTGTAAATTTTTCACTTTGTGAACTGTGAACAGATGTTTCAAACTGCGAAACTCTACTGACATTTAGCTCCGTAGTACTAGTAGATTGTGGAGTTGTAAGAATAACAGCTGGAGTTGGCGAAGCTGTACTAGTATCTCCACCATTTGTAGATGTATTATCATATCTTGGCGAGTCCTGTGATGATTCATGCGAGACTTGGAATGCATGAAGTACCTACAGCAAAGGGGAAAAAATACATTCATTTTAAAAACAAATAATATGCATAGTAAAAGTCAATCTGATAATCCAACACAGGAAATTTTTTAAATGAAACTTAACTAAGAACTATGGACAGATTAATTAAATTATAATCTAGTATTAATGTTTAATTATGATGAAACAATTATCATGATTATAATATTAAAACTGAAGGTAAAGTAACTGAAACTGAAGGTAATACCATTAAATAAAACACTTAAACAGTGATAAAATATGGATAATAATTCAGAAAATATTACTTCTGTCACTTAATGTCTATTTTTGAAAAAAAATTCTCTTTCAATAATGAAATAATCAAGGGTTTAATTAAAGCACTTAAATACAGATAAAATATATATACTATTAATTAACAAAATATTACTTCTGTTATATAATGCCTATTTTTTTGAAGAAAATTCTCTTTCAATAATGAAATAATCAAGAGTTTAAATATAAAAGAATATTTTACACCAACAGTTCCCAACTTTTACATACATCCCTTAATAAGACCCTGTAATTAAAGCTTACCCCTTTCTTCAGAACTTATAATCCCTTCATCCCTCCAGTACTTCAAAAGTATATCTTACTATTGTATTAATACCATAAAATTTACTAATTGTATTGAAACAAATACCGTCAATGTACTGACTGCATTAATTTCAGTTAAGAACTGTTTTAGTGCAGGAAAAGTGGCTGCCATAGAGATTTATCAAGTTCCTAATTAAGAGTATGATGACTCACTATGCAACCTGTGTGTCTATTTGAGGTGAGCATATTTCCTATTAGCCTCATTTAAGACACTATACTACAGTGTCAGTTTTGGCATATCTATTCTCATGATAATAAGTGGATACGTTTACAGTCATATGGCACAAATGATTATCTTACATTATATACCAAATACAGTCAAAAGTCGTTAATTTGGACACCCATAATCCGGAATGATCTATAATCCGGACCTCAAAGCTAAAAACTTTCTGCGCATGCGTCTCGTCGGCACATGCACGCAGGCGTTTTACGCGTGCGCGTAAGACCTTGACTACTGCACATATGCGTATGCGCAAGTGCAGAATACATTTTCGCCTGCGCGTTTAATGTATAACAGACGGTGTAAGCTAAAATTATCCAATTATCTATTTCAATTAATGTTAATGATTGCGTTGTTCCTTAATCTTCGAATTGGAACCCGCTTATTATTTTTTGCAGACTGTAAGAGCAATTTTATAAAAGTAAACTTGAACTTTCAATTATGTCAAATAGAATTTCCGATGCTGGAACTTCCAAAGGATCTACAAAACGAAAGTATGTTTCGATGTCCAACAAACAAAAAGTGGAATTGCTGCAAAAAATGGATAAAGACATGAAGAATGTGACAAAGAGGTTAGTGAAAACGAAAAAATTTTGATTAACAAGTTAGTCGGTATTCTCGGCACAGCAATTAACGGGACTTGAACAGCGGAACTTTGTAACTGAACAAGAAATTATGTCTTTTTATAGAATTAAAGAGAAAGTATTATCACATAAAATGAAGCAACTTAAACAACTTACATTGAGAGAAATGTTTAATAAAGTAAACAAATAAATATTAAGGTTTTTTTTTTTTTTTTTTTTTTTTTTTTTAAATTTTGATACCCTTTAGATCATAATTGCTCTTTATTTCATAAATTACGGTTTCATATTTTTAAATTTTAGAATTTCTGCATGCCATCTTACGAGATTTAAACTGATGATCTATAACCCGGAATCGCCGAAGTCCCGACGAGTCCGGATTAACGACTTTTGACTGTAATTGTTGCATGGTATAAATCATTACCTCATTTTAATACACATACCAAACTTCATTAAATTCTGTTTCTCTCTCTCTCTCTTTTATTTAAAAAAAATATGGAAAAAGTGTGTTTATTCTCTTGGTTTTTAAAACAAGCATAAAATTGATGATAGAGAACTGTTCACCTCCCTGTCTCACTATATAAACAACACAAAGTCTAAAATCCGGATGCTCAATAACTGAATGATCTATTATCCAGACCTCCCATTTACAAAAATAATTTTTAAAAAAAAATTACACAGTGTAGGAATAGATAATATTCAAATGTACCGTAAATAGATTTGTATTCCGATTAACTGAGCCCCCCCAAAACATCATTATTCGTGATAATACTGAATCATCCTACATGCTAGTTTGGCTTTAAATACCTGCTGGATTACGAATCCCATTTTTATTTTCAGCTCTTCAATGCTTGTGTTGTCGATCTTATCTATTAGTCTTGCACACAACATGTGAACCCTGAAGACCAACATTTGTCTCGACTGTAATGCTTCATATACTGGTTTTCCTTCTGTTGCATAGTAGGGAAGAGGGAGAGAGAATTTGTTTCCAGTTAGTTTGGAAGCTCAGCTAGAATTCCAAATTGTGTTTTTCCTTTGATTTGATCTAGTGTATTATCTTTTCTATTATTATTACTGTTAATCTTATCAAAATTAAGGATTTAGTACAAGATAATATCTCTATTTTACTTTTTCTTTGAAACTTCATCAATGGACACTGGAATTTTGAGTGCATTGAAATGTAGAAATACAGTAGTGTTTTTTAAATCGATGCAGTAAATCAATAGTTAAGTCTACTGTGTAGAGGTGATGGGAAGATAAGTCTACATATATTTAAAAAATGTTTGCATATGCATATGTGACACAGGCAAGCTGCCTATAATGCCAACGCTCAATTCGCTCATTGAGCTCCTGGACACAGCGAACTTTTTTACTGCGCAATATTAGAACTTTGAGATCTTCTGGAAGGTACTGGGTGAGTAAGTTTCTGTATTTAACCACCAATTCTAAATACCATCTTGAGCAGTGTTAAGGCCTTGGGTGCCCCTAGACGCACACTTCACGAAAAATGGAACATGGCTTCTTAGACCCTGCTAACTTCACAGAAAATTGTAAAAAAAGAGGATTTTCCTGAGGGCTCTCCATTATGAAGACTATTTCATATTTCTGAGCTTGAAAAACAAATTAAGGAAATAAAGAAATTTAGGATAACTACAAAGGATAAGAAATTACTCAAAACTATTAAGCTGAACTTGACAAGAATAAACACCTCCTATCTGAAACAGTAATGTATAATCACGATGTCTTAGATAGAAATGCTACTGCACATCTGCACATCTTATGATAGCGAACAAAAAGATATTGAATGCGTAAAAAACAAGGTTCATACACATTTCTGCACAAGGAAATTAAATATTTTTAAGGACCATTAATGAAAAAAATTAAGGACCTATGAGCAAATGGGAACTGAATAAATTCAATTAAAAAAATTTTATATCTATGCCTGAACGTGGGTAGGATGCATTATTATTAAACATAACTTAATTAACAGAATTATTAATATGTTTGAGAATAAAATTAATTTTATGAAATTTATCAAGTAGTATTAAATAATATTTTAAACTCATAATAACTGGACATATTTGAAAGAAGATAAGTGACATTTTACTTACGTTTTACTAAGACTTAGTTTAGTCTCATTTTGTCACATACTTGCTCAGTCATTTATATCAAGCAGCATAGGTTAAAATGAGCATTAAAATCATAATCAGCATGATTTATAACAAAAGACTGGCTATTGTCGCCACTCCTGCTTGCCTATAGAGAGGCCTGCTGATCAGAACAAACCTAAAAGGCCTGATGTAGGCAAACAAATATTACACAAATCATTTAAAACCCTGAAGAGAATCTAGATGAAATCATCCTTGAAAATCATGCTAATGAAAACAAACCTGAGGATAAAAATGCCACTGCTAGACAAAATTAAAGTTACAGTAATACACCTAAAATAACCAAAATTCCTCCAATAGTCATCACAGACTCCAAAAGCAATTTTAAACAATTAAGGCGAGAGTTCAGAGAATTAGGAGTAGCCAAAAAAGAAGATGGCAATCTGAAACTTGAACCATTCGACACTGATATTTCAGGAAAATCTAGGACAAACTTATTAAGGAGAAGATCCCTTTTCACATATCTGGTTAGCCCAGAAAAATGCCTTGAAGTCGTCATTAAAGGTCTATCAGAAGACTTTACCCCACAAGACATCGAGGAAGAATTATCACTTCTCAACAAACCCTACATAAAGGTCTATCAACTCCAAAGATACTACTAATGCATGTTTTGAAATGAGTAAAATTAACGGCATGTTAATATGTTCTTATGTACAATGTGAACTGTTATCTTAAAAGTTAAGAAGTACTGTGATATGTTAGAAATGAAAATGTTGTAGTAATACCAAAATTTTAACTTATTGGTATGACTAAAAAAAAAAAAAGAAAAAAGAAAAAAGAAAGAGTTAAGCGTTGTGAATATGTGCTAAAGGTTAAATGAACATAAGCTCTCTGACGCTACACTTCAGAGTTAGCCACTTCTTGAGAATAGTACCTCAGGGTTCAGAGATGAATTAAGGTGTATTCTGAGGTCTTGTTATGTTGAATTTTAACACGTTAGTGTTTTGATTGCAGGTGGTACAGGGTTCGTACACATTTCTGCACATGGAAACTAAGGACTTTTAAGGACCATTAATGAAAAAAATTAAGGACCTATGCACAAATGGGAACTGAATAAATTCAATTAAAAATATTATTCTATGCCTGAATTTCACTTTTGTAATACCATCCTAAAAATAAAATAGATCCCTAAGTAGTATGCATTATTACTAAACATGAATTTAACTAACATAATTATTAATAAGTTTGAGAATAAAATAAACTTCATGCAGTTTATCAAGTAGCATTAAATATTTTACACTTATAATAGTTGGACATATTTAAAAGGCGATAAGTGGCATTTACGTTTTACTAATAGTTAGCTTTCACATACTTGGTCAGTCTAGAGCAGTGGTGCGCGAACTTTTTTCGACTGCAACCCCTTTTGTAGAGAGAAAAATTTGGCGACCCCTAGAGATAAATGTTCACAAATACGATGTA